GTTTTTATATATATATATATATATAGTAAACTTTGAGCTCAACATAAATACTTATTTAAGTACTACTAGAACTCACCAAGTGAGCTTCCTGGTTAGTAAGAAAACTGGATCAAAAAATTTTACATAACTATATTTTCAAAACTATGTTGAAGGAAAAAAAAAAAAAAAGTGAAAAAAAGCTCTATTTCCTGAATTCTTACTTTTCTGTTTTGATCATAGGCAGAGTCAATTCCCAGGATGCTGTTGACTTCCACGTAAGGATACTGTTTCTCAAGAACACTAACCACATGCTCCACTTTTAGGTGATCTCCTGTTTTTACTTTGTTATATATCTGAAAGGGGAAATACAAATACAAGTTTACAGCTGCAAGTGCACAGCCTCTGTCCTTACCAAAGGTAGGCTGACCTATCACATGTATTCTAGTAATTATAAGGCATTAACAGCTAGATTGCAAAACATATATTTATTAGCTGCAATAACAGCTACTGAGCACTTGTAGTACTTACAATTATCTTCCTTTACCACACAGTCATTCCAGTGAGTTTGGAAGGAGGTATATATAATTTATTTCTTTAAATTCTAACTTGCATCTTTAATTAGAAAAGGTATTTGAGGGGTAAAAGTAGTGCTTGGGGGAGAAAAGGCTCAAGTAAAGCATATCCAAAGAGCTACCGTTCCTTTTAGAACTCAAGGCATGTCTATAAACCTCACAAGTAGGTAACTGCTTTCCTCTTGAAGGCAGAAGATTTTACTTTGATTTACAAATACATACTCAAAAAAATGATAATAAAAGTCATTGTCTTCAAGTCACCAGCAGTTTAATGTTACAGTATGGCCCAGCTTGTCAATTTGTACAACATCAAACCACACGTGAAAATGCATTTATTAGCACCTCCATTATCCTTTGATGTGGCAAAAGTAGGCAGCAGGAACTGTTCAAACCGAATTATAATATTCAAGGGATACAGCAGTTTAGAACTGGTTAACAAACTGAGCAAAGAGACAGGATCCAAAAAACACCCAGAAGCGTTAAGTGTCACTTTTAAATCTAATCTCACTTAGTAAAGTTACATTAGAAGCACTTTACAAAGAAATGTGTATCTTGTGGTACTCTAGTACTTGGAGATAATTGAAACACTAACAGAATCAAAGAAAAATTTCTTCCACTACCTACATAATAACATATTAACATAATTACACATGCATGGAAATACTCCAACGTTATTTTTCCTTTTAAGTTAATACTTACAGACATGACAGTCTGGAAGGCGTAATTATTGTCCATTTCTTGTGCCACATAATTGTACGCCCTGAGGAGGGCAACACCAGGATCCTGAAGTCCATCAACATCCTCTGAGTCATTAACCACAAAGACTAATCCTATCCTGCAATCAAACAAACCCCCAGATCATGAATCTGTTATACTAATAAATAATCAACTCTTCATACAACTGTCAGCAACGATCATCATCTTAAGACACAGGTGTCTTCTGGAATAGACTGGTAAGATTTTGAGCAGAGCAGCCAGGAATCAAACTTAGGACATAAAACCTCTAATGGTGAGTCCATAAGAATCTTGCTTTTCATCTCTCTTTCATCCAGAGTTTCTTTTTAGACTGTTATGAACTCTGTTTTGCTAGTAGCAAAAGTTTTATTTTAAAAAATAAATAAGAAACAGTATTTAGTAAATGTCCTTCCCACCATTTCCACAGTGTCTTAGCAATGCAAATTTTACAATTGCAAAAGTCACCCAAATAAAACTGATGCAAAAAAAAAAAAATCCTATTAAAACACTGCACTTACCTCAGTGGGATGTGGTTACTGAAGAACATCTCTGCGACATTCAGTAATTCTGCTGTGGTCTCGTGAACAGGATCTACTATCAGCACCTGCATACAAATTGCAAATGAAAAGTTTCTGTTCCCTTAAGAAGTCAAGATACGCTTTTTTTATTAGAGATAGCTTCATTCACATCTTGTAGAATTATCATCACTTCTATTTTATACACTGGCAGGGAGATGAGGCCCACTAAGTAGTAGTTTCTTCTGAAGTCACTAAGTCCGTTTTCTAAAACATCCAGTCTAAACTACTCCTTTTAACCTGAAAAGGCCGAACTCCTTATGTACTTTCCATATTTATCTCAGTATGCTCCAGCGTCTTGGCTTCTGCCTCTGTGTGTCCGCAGCCACACACCATTAAGCTGTGCGTGGGAGAGAGGCATTTGTCAGAACTGAGGAACACAGCACTGCTCTGCGCAGCCCCTTGGAGAGCTGCTGCTGCCAAGGCATCCTCAGAGCAAGCCCAAACCCAGACAGAATCTGGCCATTCTGAATGAATTTAGGACCCTTTATGCCACGTGTTGTCTTTTTATTTAATAATTTCAATGTCCAAAGTACTGAACTCAAAAGATAACACATTAATGCTCTCACAGCTTGAGGTGGTTCAAGTCCCTATTGCCACTAATCAGAGGTCACCCTGCTAAAAGAGCTAGAGCACAGAATTTACAAACTGCTTTTCAGATCTAGCTTTAAGTAGTTTACCTAGAGACTAAATGGACACCCAGGATTAAGCTGACAGCTGCTGATCATTTTTTGAAGTCTTTGCACAAGAATGCTTTCTAAGTGAAAAAAATGGAGTTGTTTTAACTCTGTTAAGAAGATACTAATTAACAAATTTGAGGGACTTCTTTAACCAACTTGAGGTATTATCACAAAGTTGAAATGCACCAAATTCTCACTTGTCAGATGACAGGTTTTTTCCATTGATGAAGCAATTGTTGGTAACTAACAGATGCCAGAGAATCATGCTCAATGATCTCCAGATCTCGGTCATAACTTACTAGTACAAGTAGAATAAAATCTTTCAGAAAAGCATCGTATCTCAAGATACTCAAGCGACAGGGAATCTAGCATATACATAGGAAAGTTGCAAAAGCTAATTGCCTCTGCTGTTGAAAAAACAAAATACACATTTCATTTCTAGTCAGATTACTACTTACAAAATTATGGAAGTTTTTTCTAATTTGTCTGATCACGCCTGGAAACGTGGGACGCAGCAGTTCTTGCACACTGGAGGGCCAGGAATTATACCTACTGTCAAACTCAAGATTGTTGATCCACTAAGAAAAAAAAAAGGCATTTAAATGATTTACAGTACTCCTGTTCAGGTCTAAGACTGTAAAATATTTTCAAACCAGACACTATATTGAGAACTGTATGAATAAAAAGGTTTTTTTTAAAAAGAGCTAATTATATTTAAACCTTACTTTCCTTTTATTCTTCACTGCAGTTTCAGAGCTGATTGTGAGGTAAGAATAAAAATTCCCCGACAGCTTAAGAACACATCGCCCAGCAGCAAATAAGCTATTTCTTATACAAAACCACACGCACTGAAATAGCAGGGCTTCTGATGTCCACAGCGTAGTCGGAATCTGACGGCTGGATGTTCAACTTCAGAACGTTGTGCAGTGAAAGACCCTCAATTCCCAAGCTGTGCAGGCCTTCCATAACGCGGGCTTCATTGCGTAGCACATCAATCAAGCTGGAAGAAAAAGAAAAAAAACAACATAGAGCTGTACAATGGTTTGAGTTGGAAGGAACTTTCAAGATCATCTAGATTCAACCCTCCTGCCATGGGCAGGGACACCTCTCGCTAGACCAGGTTGCTCAAAGCTCCATCCATCCTGGTCTTGAACATTTCTAGGGCCTGGGCTTCTACAACAAAATGTGGCAACAACAAAATGTTGAATTTTAAAAACACAGCAAATAACTTCCTCTTATCCTAAGAGTTAATGGATCCCAGGCGTAAACAAGTCTGCAATGTCTGTGTATTACTTCTTAGTTATCATCTATTTCTAACTGTCTTAAGAAACTTGAGATAACAAATCTTTTCAATTATATTGTATTTTTAGGAAAAAATACATTAAATCAAGATAACTAAAGCACGATACACGTATGTAATTTCAATTCCACATTATTGAAACAAATGTTGACAAAGATATATGATGGTCTTCAGATGAAAAAGATACAGGAGTTTATCCTTTGAAAATCAGTCTACTATCTTCAGAAAAAACCCGTACGTTGACGCTCCTGGAGGCCAAAATCTTGTTATTCATAGCATAGATCAAAAGAATAGTACAAAGGTGCCTTCCCAGTCCAATCTTCAGGGGTATTCCAGTTTACACATCAGCCTTTTTGTTAGAAATGTACTTGTGTAAGAGAAGGAGTCATGATTTGCTTTTTCTAGAGCTTAACAATTAAACTGGTCTAGATACAGACTTTGTGAAGAAGATTCAGAACTGTCTAAATGACTTTTATCATCCATGCACAAGCAGGATGCAACCTCCTAAACAGGATACAGTTATTCTGAAAAATAAAACATTCCTACCTAAATATGTCCTGAGTGTCTAAATCAATAAGTAGTCCGTTGATGAACAGGGCAGAATCTCCCGGTTGCAATCCTAATGTTCCTTTGAAATACTGCAAGAAAGTAGAAGGCCATTAGAGGAATGCTCTGCATGCATCAAAATTACTGGAGAGTTTAATGTGTCAAACTGCAGATTTTTTTCTCCCTTTCTGCATTACATAACTTCTCAACTGCAGTCCTTGCTGACTTCGGGCACACATCCATATCAGCGGAAAAAACAACTTTCTGCATGATTCTGTAACGCATTGGAAAGTCTCTGAGTAGACTTTTTAAATAGATTCAATAATTTAAAATGCTTGGGAAGCAATTTTTTTTTTTTTTAGCTGACAGTCCATCACGTAGATGGCATCCAGTTACCTGTCTCAGCTCTTTAACACATAAGTTTGTGCAGGACAGACTTAAACTTCTGGATACGGCATGGCACACACTAGTGGGACTGACTACTGGGTATAAGGTACCAGTTAAGTCCTAGTGGTTGTGTTGTCAATGAAAAGCACACAAGCTGCCACCGTAGTCCGATCTCCTCAAAAATCAGGCAGCACACAAGTGGATAAAGTCCTATTAGTATTCTGGAATTTCTCCCAAGTACCTGTAAGCAGCACCCCATTTGAATGGATACTTGTCCCCAAATTGAGGCACCATCACAGGGAACAATTTTGAATCAGAAGGGGTGAATAAAACAATCCTCCTGAAGCAAATTTCCCAACTCTATTATGAAAAATTCTGTTTAAAAACCTGAAAAAATGACATTGCTTTCTCTTGTCTTGCAGTACTAGTTAGAAAATTCTGTAAAGAGGCATGATGAAAACTAAAGTAAAAATACAGCATTTGGACATTTAAAAACTCTAACATCATGAAGGATGTGAGCCAAGCAAACAGAGGAATAGCAAAGTACTATGTCAAGTACCAACACAGGAAAGCAGCATCTAATCAGGAAATATTTATATACTTTATTACATAAAAAGCTACCAGAGAAGAGCTGAGTACATGCAGTGTTCAGCTGAATTTTTTGTGTAATTACATCATAAACTGTAACTTCTTAATAGCAGTGAACTTCACTATCACATGCTGTCCACACAACCTGTGTCATACAAAGAGTAGCTTCAAAGGGCCAGGTCAGAGCGAGATCTAGTAGCCTAGACATACTTGGAATAAAAATGAAATCCACAAAATCATGGGTTTACTTGTGGACCAGTCTGATCTAATAGGTAACAGAAAGGCCACCAGGTCGTTTCAGCTCGCGCTTACGTTCTATACTTTGTCCCTTCCAGAACCACACGGGACAACGGTGTCAAACCACATCCTTCGTTTCTGATTTTATCGCTACTGAACAACAAGAGATTTCTCTCAGAAGAGGAACCTCAGGGACATCTAAGTAGATGTCAGGTAATTTTGCACTTACTACTAGACTAGCTAAATATAATTTATTAGGTTTTTAATAAAGACATAAATGTGTACTTAACGTATTATGTATTTTTCCTATAAATACCAAGCAAGGCTGAAATGTGTGAATAGATTGGCGTAGATTATATAGCAAAAGCTGTCTGCACTACCTGGTGTATTTTAATTGTATAAAATTGTGTACAAAAGCCTGTATAGCATTTCCTAGTGGCTATTGGTTTTTCAGTTCTTCACTGATGCCAAATACACAAAAGAGCTGTTAAAACATTTTTCTACAAATGTCAGAGCCTTCACAGTGATCTCCAGAGGTCCCTCGTAACCTGGCTTTCTGTTACAGTTCATATTCAAAGCACGTGTAGACTTAACTGGATAGGTGTTACATTTTATTCTTTCACTAGTTTCACTCTCAAGGCACCAACACTGGAACCATTTTCTCCACGTGCTATGAATCATTCTAAGTCATAGCAGAAGGTTTTGAGTTTATTCGTGACGAATTCAGGTATCTAACCACCATCTCAAATTGGGTAATGTGAACGAAGTTTCTCCTGCATCCTTAAAACTGTAAGGAGATGCTTAATATGTTTGCTTTTCAAGCAACAGCTTTCTAACAAGCTCTGTTCCATCCAAACCAGCTCAGATATATTAAAATAATCTAAAAAATAACTACATTTTGACTCTAATAACTTCCACTAAAAAACACTTGCACTTTTAATATCTAGTAGCTTTTGAGAAGTTCAGAATACAATCAAAACCAAAAATCAGTAACTTAAAGTCAGCCTCTTTTTAACTATTACCCAAGGCAAATAGCGCTATGACATTCAGACTTGACACATCTGCTGTACCCCTCAAACAACAACTGGGTCAGAGACTGAAAGAACGTCCCCCGACAGCCACAGTCCTACAAGAAACATATTGACCTTGTCTATCCAGCTTTTGCTGGCAAGTCATCACAGCAAATGGATAACTTAGAAACTAAGTGACAGCTGCTGTGACACAGACATCCAAATTTCTACTGCTTCGTTTTTGGCACAGTCCTGTCCTGCACACCAGATTAAGACACTCTGCATGAAAATCCTGAGAACGCCTACACTGTGTGTTTTCTGTAAATGAACATTTTCCCCTGCATTAACAAAATAATACTTTCACTGTATTTGAAGTTAATTTTATAAACACAAATACATGCAGTTACCAGATTCTGAGTTCAGACACCAAACAGAAGGTCATTTTGACACACGTTACCAAGTGCTTGCTAATTAACTACCAGAACACTAGACTACCGTGAACAACTATTACAGAGGCAGCTCTGTTAACAAAATCCCGTATCGTCATTCCCCAACACAGTGATCTCACTCTTAAGAATTCATGGCCAATATTTTTATATTTGAGTAAACAAACTAAAATATGTTCCTAATCCATGTTTGAAAATCCACTTCTTTACTTCCCAGATGCATACTACAACAGAGTTGAGTGTGAAAAGTCATTATTTTGAGCAAAATGTAAACTTTTGAATAGAATCATTATTTCCAAAACATGAATTTATATTAAAACTTAAGTGCAAAATCACTATGTTACTTTCTGGAAGCATTACCTTCTGGTTCTCTTCAATTTCTGCTCTGAGTTCCGAAGAAACAACTGTTTTCGTTATGGCTCTACAGAAATAAAAATATCATGCTGTGAATCATCTTCCCCTTTTATCTCATGTATAGATTAGATAACTACTTATGCTACTTCTTCTACTTTATATATAAATGTATTGAGTCTCCTGGTATAACGGGCTGCAGTCAGAAGCACTTGCATTTCGTGGTACCGTTAAACAGTAGGATGCACTGTTTTTTCTTGTACTATATAATTCAAGAGAATAGCGATTGTGCTACCACAGAATGGGTGAGTACAGCTCACAGGTCAGACTAAAAAGGCAACAAGAGTGCAATACCGACCTTAAGAAGCCATAAATAGCACCATCTTAACATTAGTTAGTGGGAAGTAGAATTCAGCTTCTTTTTACTCCCAAGTATATCTCCACCTACTCAAAATGGAGCAGCTCCTATATCATCTTCACAACCCATATTTCTTTATCAAAAGAAATGTATTTCTAGACTGCATGGGCAGGCCAGATTATGACTAAGTTTCTTGGGATTTAATTTGAATATGCTCAAGACAGTCATTGACAAAGTGCAAAAAAACAGTGGAATTGCACATCAGTCTGACTGGGCTGTTTGTCAAAGCAGATCCCAGAAGAGTGGAATCCAGTGAACAGATGAAACTTAAAGCCACCAAACAGAAGACCTACACAATAAAATCTTGAGGACATGACACAAAAGGTTCTGAAGCACTTCACAACAAAATAGCGTGGGTAATTCTGTCAAATTTTCCACCAGGCCACATCAACTGCCATCCAAGAAAAACACTGAAAGATCCTCTTTGTAATCTCACGCTCTGCATAAACATTCTGCACTGTTTGCTTCCAGCTAAATTGAAACTCGGGCATTAACCCAACCAATGCTGCCTGTCGAGGGTTCTGTCCAGGAAAAAAATAGTAAGACAACTTCCTAGAACTCAGAGTTACCTGGCCTTTGTAGGAAAGTTCTGACTGAGATCTTTCATGACCATCAAAGCATCCACAGGGGGAGCAGTCAAAATGCGAGCAGCAGTTTGAAAACTTAAATCTAGAAGCAAAGAAACAGAAGTCGAGAACTCTAAGCAGAAAACAAGCCAATGCAGGGTCATCTTAACTTTACCTTTCATTTTTTCTGCTTGTTACCTACGAAAACTCATTCTCTAGCTGCGCCTTCTGAATATTTTTATTTCCTTCCTTGTATTCAACTTCTATTTGTTGCCTTGAAGTAAGTAACCCCTTCAAAACGAACCCATGTTCCATCTAGAGGTTGCTTCAAGGAGTTCAGACCATCACCTTTTTTTCTAGCTGAGGTGTGAGGATCTGCCCTTCGGAAAGGGTCTGTGAACTTCTTTCCCAAGCTAGAAATATAAATGGCCATCTGTTGGAAATAGGTAGATTCTCTGTGGCTACAACAAATGTTCACCATTTCAAATTACTCTTTTTCTTTTTTTTTTTTCCTCGAGGACGAAAAGCCTTTCCACGGGCCTCTACATATGATTTCCAGGGAAACGGGACACAGTTGCGCACGTACACTTTTAAAATCCAGTTTTCCTTTGGTCTTGAGAAATCTCAGCTTTCCATGCCAAGAATGTAACCATGGAAAGAAACTTTACATTTCCTTTGCTTCTCTGCATTTAGCAGATCATACAAGTAGTCAGTTTAGCAGGTGGCTTACTACACTTCACAATATAGAAAGCAAACCTCCTTTCACAAGTCCTGTGAAACAATCTTTAATCTAAAGGCTATTTCAACAGGACTCTACAAAGGTGCTTTAGAAAATTCAGTGTTTTCTAATGCAGGAATTTACAGTCAACCTTTCTCAACTGTACACAGCCACTAGCAACCTTATTTGCATAGAATACGAGATGATCTTCTGAGGTCCCTTCCAACCCCTGACATTCTGTGATTCTGTGAAGATATGGTTACATTAAAGTTTTTGCAGGACGATACTAGAAGCCTTCATGCAGATTACCTTGTAACTGCCAGACTTTCAAAGGTGCCATTTCATTGGTACTTTCCACGAGGTGTTTCCTGAGCTCTTTCAGCTCTTCTGTCAAGTCAGGATACAAGTGCCTAAAAGGATATGAGGGTAAAACAATTTGTGTGGTTTCCTATAAGCAACTCTGCTGCTAATTCAAAGAAACTAACAGATGAAAAGGTATGTTGCTAACACATACAGAAAACAAAAACATTTAATAATAACAAAAAGACCAACATCTCTGCATCAAGTTTTTGATATGACAAAAGACCAACAACTTAAAACTGAGTTTTACCTTAGTTTTCCAAACAGAAATCCTTGCACTTCATCAATAGGGTCATTTTCATCTATTACTGTAGCATTTACATCCGTGCCTATAAACACACCAAGAAGTACACTATTCCCAAGCTATTTAGAAAAAGTTTGTACATCAGTTTTCTTTAGTTTAATAAAACCACACTGCAGTAACTGAAAAGAAGAAAGTGCAAGTTTCACGTTTACTTTTAAACCTGTATCCAAGAGATATTGCCTTTAGAAATGAACACAGTAACAGCTGAAATAAAACCAAGTTGGATTATTGAGAGGGAAGAGCTTAAGATGAGAGGAAATCTCAGAGACCTAGGCACTGCAGAGGAATTCACTAGGACCTGGGAGCTTTCAGGACATGCCAGCTTTGTAGATCAGGTACTAAACTTCAGTTGTGAACAGCAACCTTGATTTTAGCCCCAAAACATATGATAAAAAAACACAGTCTCCAAGTAAAGTCCAATTCTGTGCTTAAACGTCAAAAAGAAATCTGTGCAAGACTCACCTGATCTCCCAGCTGGCTGGACTAAAGCTCCAATCTAGTTGTTTTATGCTCAAGTCTAACTAGTCCTGATCTTTTAGACGAGCGTTTGCTTCTGGACAAGCCAAAACAGCCCAGGCAGGAGTAAAAGACTTCACAGTCACAACACTCACAGAACCAGGCAGCTGGATGAGAACCATATACCTCTAACGTGCAGCTTCCTATCCGGGAACTATTTGTAGCTCATAGCAAGGCGAGTAGTTTGTCCATTTTGTAAAACATTTTACATTACTGCATCAACATTGATATAAAACTTCACAAGTTCACGAAACCCAAATCTGTCCCAGAGCTGGTTTTCTCCCTCCACCTGAAAAGGCCTCTAATACCCTATTCTACAAACAACATCAGGGGTTTTGCATGACTTTTTGATGACAAATGAATGGAAATTCTCACACAGTAACAGAAATTTTTAAGTTGGATCACCTCCTCTAGTATGTTAGCTTCTCTTAAAATCAAATACTTCTACAAATAAAGACCAAAGGTTTTATGTGTCTATATTCTAGATGATGGCAAAACATTTTGAGTCAGAGTTTAGATCTGTATCTAAAAGCCGATAAAACAACAAAATCCTGAAGAACCCAGCTAAAAATTGGCATTCTAGTCTCCACAACCGTAATCTCAAACTAAAAAAAAAAATTTTTTTTGTCTGGTACTTAACTCCAAGACAAAAGCTGGAAATTCTGGGAACATCTAAATAAAAAGTATACACATACAGAGATTATCCTGATAAAATATTTTTGGCAGCTGCCTGAGAGTTTGGAAGACAGAGGTCAGGGCTCTAAATAAAGCAGCAAAAGCAAAAAATCATGGAGAATTCTAAGTTCTGTTTTTCCAAAGAAAAAGAAAACGCATTTTGCTCTGAGGATGGATAAGCTAAGGCAAATTAAAGTAAAGAAATTGCTTTACATCTGGAGAGAACCTGGTTATCTGGTAAAAAACCAGTTGCATTAGCGGTGCCATTACTGAGATCTAGTCCAGAGCCCTGACTCCACTGTGGCAAGCGTTTCAGACAGAAGACAAAGATACGCTTCACAAAGAATATAATCCCAAAAGAGAGAGGAAGAGAAGTGATTTCAGAGCTCAGAAAAGAATATCTGCAAGAGAAATATTAAACTGTCTTTGCAGAATGCTCACATTAAAATTGTTAAAATATTAACTCACCTTTCACCTGTGTATCATCCTTGGCCTTGTATTCTGTGCTTTTAATAGCCAGTTCCACACCGTAGCCAGAGAGGTAGACTTTTTCTTTACTGGGATGCTATGAGAAAAAGCAAAGAGCACAATATTGCCACGCCTTGTTTTGATGCACAGATTAAAAGCTGCCATTTCCCAAAGCTACGAAATCTCAAGCTGACACACGCTTCAGACATAACTGGTAATGCACAAGTGAGAAACGAACACAGGGAG